TTGCTCCGGCAATGTTGCCCTCTCCATTCACTAACATAATGCCATAAAATATACATTTCAAGGTACACAGGCGGCAACGGTTGGGGCGGGCCTCCCCGTCCGCCAGTAAATGAGAGGTTAACTGTAGAGTGCCAATCCCATTATTGAGGGAATTTAGCACCTTGGACAGCTCTGCAAAAATCTTTATTGCTTTTCTGACCCAGTCGGCATGTTTTGCCTGTGCGAACCTCACCTCCTTCCTCTGATTGAAAGGCAATATATTAGATTCTGAACACAAACACGCCTGAGGCTTGATCCCCTACCGGGAGTGCAGTGACACGGAGGGGCTGTAATTTTCTGATCACTCTACTCCGGGGCACCAGGCCAGGCGTCGCTGGTTAACTTTACAAAACTACGGCATGTTCCAGTCCGTCCTTCTCAGAATTAAAGGAGAACTCTCTGGTTTAATAATATAATTATTCTCCATTTGTTTGTGTGGGACTCCTCTTGCTTCAGCTTCCTTCCCCTATCACAAAACTTGCTAGAAGGTTAAATAAAATGTGAACCCAACTACTTCAATCTCATACAACCTTTGCTTTAACATGCTTAAGTAATTTGAATTCTTTTGAAGTAGTTTTAAGTAAAGATATATGTATATATATACAAGGATTACTTCATCTGTTACCTTCCAATCCTCACATAGGGACCTTCTACATGCTGCACAGGCCAGGAAACCCAGGACTCCTCTAACAGCTTTCTCCTGTCTAAACTGACAAACTGTCATGTTGATTTTCTTATTCATTGTTTTTATTAATTTCAAAAAAAAATGGGATAACAACTTATGTATATTAGGAACATTTGGTAAGACAGCATTCAGTGTAGAAAAATGACTGGTGGCAAATCCAGTGGTTGACAATGTCTTGAGCAATTATGTATGCAACAAGCTTTCATGATGCATACATACCAAAACAGTGATAAAGTTAAATAACGGGATGGAAGGGGGGTTGGTAAAGGGGAGCAGATCCGGGAGCTCCTTACCAGGGGCATTTTCCCTTGTGAATAGGATGTTGATGGACATCTGGTGATCTATTAGCTAAAGAGAGCTGTTTCATGGTTCCAAAGCAGTTTGATCAAAGCCTACGGGTAGGTATTTGTCTATACAGGGTTAAAAAACTCTGGTGTATTTAGAAATACTATCTAGTATGGTAGTCCTCAGGTTTTTTCAAGTATCATAGGTTGCATAACTCTATTTTCGGTCTCAGCAAGATTGAGTCTGGGGGTTCTCCAGGCCTAGGCTATAGTTTGCTGCCCTGGGGATTTGTAGTTGGAACCTAAATTTAGATTTAGGGGCATTCTTTGGGCACTTGTTTAGGAGTTCATAAGTCAGGTAAGGGGCTCCAATGGAACCCTGAGGACACACACCTTAATTTCAAGGGCCTTCAGGCCAGTCCATTGATGTCATAGGTCCCTCCCTCCTTTCCTGCAGTAGTGGACGGTCCTGTGTAACATGTAAGCACAATTAGTACAGTAGTTCAGTGAGCCAAGGCTGCCATAAATGACGCTGCCGCTGAAGCCAGGGATCAGTGGAAGTGGGTTGAATGACACTGTAAGACTGACAGAGGACATCTTCGGATTTTAAATGAGTATTGCTGAAAAAGTATTTTTACTCAAATGGACAATTAATGTAATTCTCTTTATTTTAGCTGGGGTTACGATTTAAACCTCCTGCAGTTCTTCTTTTAAGTAGGCAAAAATCACGATTTTGTTTATATGCTTCATGAATGTTCTATATTACTCATTGCTACAAGCATCTTGTATGTACCCAGTTCAGCACCATTTCTCTGAAATCATTGTCCCTCTGTGTGGCGAAAGGGAAACTTGAGTGCTGAAGTTCTCCTTCCTTATGACTTCTCCTGCCCAGCCCTTGATTGGACAATGATGGAGCAGCAGCATTTGATTAGCTCTTTTCTGTGCTCTTCCCTCCTTGTCCACTGGGTGACAACCATTGTGCAATGCAGTAGAGCCATGACTAACTCACAGCGCTGGCCCTCCTTCTCCCATGGGATGCATAGGATTACATGGGAAAATACCTTGCCTTGTGTATATTTTTGCTGATAACATCAGTCTCCTTACATTTCAACAGTTTTCAATTGAGTTTAACAGAGTCTGATTCCTCGCATCACTGTCAGTATGGCTCTGACTTGCTTCCCGAGGCTGGATAAGTCATATTGATAATAGCATATAGCTATAGATCAAAAACATATAGCCTAAACAGGACAATCCCCATTATGTTTCTGTAATGTTTCCATTACGTGTTGTTAATTAAAAAGTAATTCAAGCGAGCTTATGCATATTACAAATTTGTATGGCTTATTTTATAAGCCCACTAGCAAACTCAGGCTCACTTTGATGTTAGGTGAATGCCGTCGCTCTGCCAGTCACTGAGAAAACACTCAATACAAGACCGTTCAGGTGTGTCTGAATGGAAGAGGACCTGTCTCGCACACACACACACCCTGATCAAACTTAAAGATAGAAGGGAACCCTTCAGGCATGTGATTTGCTTTTGCTTTTTACATTAGAAAGGTCATTAGGTAATTCCCGAAAAGAACACTGAGGGAATTTAAATGGATATTTTTTTAATTTTAAAGTGGCAGGAATAAGAAAAAATCATGCTAAAATGAAGGTGGTCATAGAAGGGCAGTTCTCTTATCGGTAGACAGGACGTGAGAAATATATAAGTTGCTTCTACTGACCTGCTAGATGCCTGGCTGCTATGCTGATTCAGTGGCTTCAATACTTTCAGAGTAACTGACATCGAGCAGAGAGTACTGACTGTACACTTAATTCACTGGCTACATGCTTGTTCTGGGTCACTGACTCAAGCAGTATGACCTCAGCATTTCACTGGGGAACTGGGTGGCAGATCTTATGACACAATTGACCCATATCTCCTGATTTTCTGGAAACAAAGGACAACTTCTGTCCTATTGCACCATTGTCAAACTATCAATTACAAACTCCATTGGGAGGTAATATGCCAAAAGGGTTAAAGTAGATGTAAAAACTTTAAAGCTCTGTGTATCATAAAAAGTTGCCATATTTTTTTCATAAAAACTTTTTTTTAAAACTTTTTTCTTGTTTTTTTGCATCTCAGTGCTGCTGACTTGCATCCTCTTTGCATACGCTTCCTATCTACAAGCACTCAATCCAGCATGAGCCGCACATCATTGTTTAGGATTAGTTTACAGTGAAGCTTGCCTTTGTGATGTGTGTGGGCACGGTCGCTTGTAATCACGAGGGGCATGTGTGACAAGGTGACAGCCCAGGACCACAACTGGCAGACAGTTGTCACCATATAACAGGAAGGGTCTGAACATGGACCTTAATGGCAGCATCAGTGATTGGTTTTAGATCTACTTTATACCAACCGGTTCTTTTTTCACCAATCATTTCACTATAAGTTCTAACAAACAGCATCGTTCCAGGTGACCAGCAATCGGCTGCTTGTCCTTCCAGGACCCGCCTCTTCCCTACAATGCATGCAAAGTTCGGTGTGTGGCCTGAACTATGCATGCAAACTATTTTCCTATACTAGCTCTAAAAAATATAGATCCACATTTGAAGGTAGGATGAAAATTTTAGTGCAAAATTAACACCTGACAGTTATAAGGATATTCATTTTTAATTAATTGTATGACAGAAGGATTTGGTTTCAAAAGAGAGACAGTAACTCCCAAAGAGACACTTGGATTTGGAAGTTAGTTTTGGTGACCTGTCTCCTGAGTGCATACAGACAGGCCAACAGTCCAATAGGAGAGTCGTTTCTCTGTCTGGTGTTTGAGAAGGGTTAAATTTGGGCTTCGGTTGAAAGCAACAAAAGAACCCGGACCAAATGGTTCTCCCCCCAGTTAGACACTACTCCCGCCTCTCCCAGACTGGTTCCCGTGGCTTGCCAGGCAATTCATCTTCATACGGTGCAGAATTTTAAATTGAAGAAATGCTAATACGCATGTAAAAGCGTGTCATCTGAGAGTTTGCAAAAGGTTTATGGTGACAGCAAAATGAATGCAATTAGATCTCAATTTTCTGATGAGAAATTTCACGGAAATGAATAATAACAATTTGCTTTTTGGGGAAAGGCAGTAATTTTTCCCTTCCTATCTTCCTTAACTTTTTTTGATAACTTAAATCTCAGTCAATTTGCCTGTCCTGAACCTGCAGCGTCCTAAAGAAGAACTCTGATTTAAAACTCTGAGGGCCTATTCACACTTGTCCATGTTCATGCAATTTGCTGCAACAAGATGCAATGCAAGAAGAAATCCCTTTTTTTTTCCTGCATGTGCACAGCAGAACATAGTCAGCATACCTTGGTGGCAAAATGAGTGAACTCCCGTGTGCATGCATAGGAGTTATATCATTCTCCTGCCAGCCAATCAAGATGGCTGAAGACCGCACACCCAAAAGAAGCCAGGAAAAAGCTGTCAGTGCCAATGAGGAAGCTCATGAACAACGCCTCCCTGAAGAGCAGGTGAGTATTTTTGGTCTTGTATTTCGCTTTAAAGAATAATTGCACATTCTAAAAAAGTGCACTTATCTTTTTTGCTCCTCACCCCTGACCTAACTGATTCCACCACCACCCTCTCCCTCTGCCGATCTGTACTTACCGAGATCTGAAGGGCACGATTACACTACGTGTTAAGATTATTTGCATCAAAATGAGTTTTCATGCATATCTATCAGAAGAGACATTGAAAAAATTATTCATTCCCTTCATAAATGCACTAAAGCCTTCATCACTAAAAGACAAGTACCAGGACCACACCTATGGAAATCACCATTGGCTGGGAGCTGATTTGGCAAAATTGTCTTAAATGATCGCTATGGGACAAAGCAGTCTTTACTTTTAAAGGACACTGTAGTGGCCACATGCTTCTTTAAGGCACTTGTATAAAGTATGTCCATTATTCTTTAAATCTATAGATAGATGAATGTTTATTGTTGCCTGTCTTTTCTTGCAGGAGGTCATTCTGAAGAGAGCAGCAGATCTGGTGGAGGCACTGTACGGGATGCCACACAATAATCAGGTAACGTATAACATTAAACTTTGTAACAGTTGTAGCACAGTCCAAAAAAGTAATCCTGCATGGCTGTTTATAACAGTGGTGACGTACCATGCTGTGGCATACTGTCCCTATACCTGCTTGTTCCTAATTAAGGTGAGGTTTCAATGTGTGATGAAGCATAGGTCTGATCCTGGGTTTGATTCCCACCAGGGATACTTCATGTATAGATTTGTATGGTCTTTCTTCACCTTTTCATGGGCTTCTAGTAGATGTTCTGATTATCTGCCAAATTCCAGAAACATTCTGGTAGGGTAATTATTTTCCACCCAAACTAGCAAAAACAAAAGGTGGTGGCTGTTCAAATCAGTTTGTAACTAGCAGAGAAAAGTTGATTCAAGTAAATGTAAATGAACAAAACAAGTATCCAGAGTACTTGGTCCAGCTAGCCTGCAAAAAGCACTTTACTATGAACTGTTTCTAAAAATTGAGGTCTTCACTGATCCACACTGCCACGCCAAGGAGCCCTTTAAAGCATTGTGCTAATCTAATATATGCGAGTGCTCAAATTAAGACATATACTCTATGTGCATATATAAATGTATATACAGAATATATACACAATTACACAGTTATATACTATATATACAGTATATAAGCTAAGGAGCCCACCACAAGACTCTTAGGGATGATAAAATGTAAAACTTTCTGTTCTCACAAGCCTCCTCCTTTCCTTATATTAAGTACTATCATATATCCTGACCTTATCACTTCACATTAACCTCCACACTTAACACTTAAGCTGGCCATACACTGTGATATTGTTTTCACTCAACCTGCAGGCTGAATAAAAAAAATGTAACAGATTCCTCCATACACTCTGAACAGTATGGATGGACAAATCTCCCGCTGGGCTATTGTATTCTGGAAGCAGCAGGTGTGCTGCTGTCAGAATACCCAAACAGTGGTGGCAGTTCACCTGAAAAGTTTCCATTCAGCCCCTTTGATTTTCCTGTGTTCAGTGACAGTCTATCCGAAACCGCTTGTAATGGTATCACAGATGCAGCCGCTGTCACCCGGTCATTTACTTCAATGGGCACAGTGGCCGCATCTGAAAACGGACAGCTTTAATTTCTGCAACATGAATCCATAGGTTCTTGCCCCAGTAATCCCAGAAGTCCCCGTGTGAATGTAGCCTTACACTCAACCTCAAAGGCCAAACTTCAGCTGAAAATGTTTATTTGGTTTTTCATAGAATTAAAAAGAGTTAGAGCCTATGCCAAATTTCTATTGACATCTCTGGATCCCCCTTACATTCTGGCAGGACAGGAAATGATTGTAAAAGAGACAAAAAGAAACACATTTTAGGTAGAGTGTTGAAGCCTAGATCTTCTGAGTTTGTTTTATTGCTGGCTGTGCCTTTTTCTCCCTGTGACAACATCGTGCCTCAGTTTTTGTCCCAGTGCCACCGGGACAGGAAATTAGGGAAAATCTCTTAAATGCACAAAAATACAAATGACAACATATTGGCTAAATATAAGTTTTACTTAACTTACCGTACTAAATCCTAAACTTACTCCTGATGCAAACTTCACCCAACCTAAAATGTTAAAGCATATCTAAACCTAAAAACAAAAATGTATCACATTGCAGCTTACCAGTCCTTAGGTGTGGTTGGTTCAATAGTTTCCTTTTTTCAGGCTGAGAACAATTACATAAAATACATGATGATCTTGCCAGAAATGCCCTGTACTTCCTGTGAGCTGAAAATACAGCACAAACATCCTTACCTTTATTGTGTACGCTACTAGTCCCCTCAATCTACTATATAATGGAGATGAAAAAAGGCATGCATGATTGAAGGCCAGTTTGGGTGACAACCACGGCTTCCTCCATAGATACAGTGGAGTAATTGGAGTATACACGTAGTGACAGAAGGTGTGTTATGTGAAAAATTACCAGGTGTATGAAATGAAATCTAATGCAGCCACCACATCTAAGGACTGGTAGGATGAAATATATATTGCATTTTGTTTTGAAGTTAGATATGCTTTAAGTTAAAAACCCCTAACCTGCCGGAATTACATTATTTGGCAGTGGTGGTCAGGGCTGTAGCTATGAGAAAGGCCCCCTCATCTTAGTCTTGAAGGCAATTCCTCCTGCCCCAATCTCCTTAAAGATACTTACAGGAAGACTCTCGATATATGCAGCGGGTAGATACAGGTCTACCATTTACGGTTGGAGGGACATAGGCTATAAGCTAGTCAGGCACAGCCATGGATGTGAATGGATTTATGTTTTCAGTAAACTGCTGTGGAATATACTGATGCCGTATAAGTGAATACAATAAAACAATTCATCCTGCCACTTGTATTTATCATCTCTCCTCAATGCTAAATATAACTTTAGAATGTAATTCAGCATATGACTTCAATCCCAGCTGATCTGTTATGTTTCATTACACTCTAGCAAAACATTATGTGCTGTTTTTAGCATAAAAATACCAATTTCATACCAACAGAATATAAATAAATCACATATTTATGATTTCATAAAGTAAACCTATATATAACTACTAAATAAAGAAAAGGAAACTGTGAAATCCTCCCTCCTAGTGTATGAAATGCCATGGCAAAAGCTATAAGCTGCATATAAGCCGTGCATGCTGGGAAAGGTTAGCAGTGGCTGGGGAATTCTCAGAAGTATTATGAGCATTGGCTATTTACGCTGGAAGGGCTACAATGTATTTTATTTGAATATTTGATACTATGAGTACTTTATTTCCACAGGAAATTATATTGAAAAGGGCAGCTGACATTGCTGAAGCTCTGTACAATGTTCCAAGGAACCACAGCCAACTTCCTGCCCTCACCAACTCCTCTGTACACCCGAGCATGATGGGAGTCAACTCTTTTAGCGGGCAACTCGCTGTCAATGTTTCTGAGTCATCACAAGTCACCAATCAGGGTAAGATGGAATGTCACAGCACTTTCTAATGTAAATAATTAAGAACTGATTTCTGTTATAAGACATATAGGTACATAAATACATTACTTCTCTTGTATCCTTCATTTATGGAGCATTTTGAATTTTATATGTGACACCAGAGTTTAGCTCTTATGATTGAATAGCTGACTTCAATGTAGGAGGTCAGAAGTATGAGGGGGTTTCAGGCTGCATAATCGCATCTACCGTGTAGCAAAAAAAGTCAATTAAGAATGTCAATTAATTGTTTGTATTTAGTGATTTAAAGTGGACCTTTCAATACCATAACAATATTTTTGCCCAACTAGGGTGGGCTTGTACCACATCCAAATAATTTGTTTAATTTAGGATAAAGAGATACAATAGAACCCAGATGGACTTTAATGGCACTCACATGTTACACGGAATATTGTCATAGAGGATTTGCGACACTATTTTTATTATATGTTTTAAATAAAGATGATTCTTTTTTAAATAAACCAAGTTAGGCTATGTGAGTACCAATAGCAGCAAGGTTATATTGTATCTCTTATCCTAAATTGGACCTTTTAAAGGTTTTTCAGAAAAGCATCAACTTTATCCATTAAAAAAACATCCTTAAACTCCATTCAAGTGACTTAGCCTTGTCTGACGTAGGCAGGAGAAATCATTTCCCCAGTCTCCTCTTCCCCAGTTCTCAGACTGCAACATTGTAACTTTGTAGCAAATCAGAAGTTGAGAGTCGGCAGCAGGGGCTGATCTATATTGTAACATAGCCAAGACCTGCAAAAGCACCCGAATTTACAGGATTGTGTCATCTCTGAGCCAGCATCTAAGGAAGTAGATGCTGACCCTGGATGATGCCTGAACGTGATGCCTGATGCCTGCCCTTCTGGAAGGAAAGCAGATGCATACATTGATGAGGGGGGGGGGGGTGTTTTGTATACAATGTAAAAGGTAATAAATACCTGCAAGTGCCATACTTACAAACTACTTAGCATGCATGCATTAAACATGGAGAAATATATCTGATTTAACAGATTTTTAAGATTGTGTCCTGCTTTATTTACATTGGAGTTTTTTTGTAAGTGTTCTAGAAAGAATGAAAATAAAATTATTATTATATCTGATTTCTTTGTGTCACTCCTCAGGCTTCAACCGTAACACGAGCAGCGTATCGCCCCACAGCTACGCCCCCAGCACCACCCCCCAGCAATCCAACTACAGCTCCGTCACAACCAGCATGAACGGCTACGGAAACACAGCCATGTCCAATCTCGCTGGATCGCCCAGCTTCCTCAACGGATCAGCTGCCAACTCACCCTATGCCAGTACGTGTTTATGCTTCACGAGGGATGTGTAGAAATGTATAGAGCTTAATCACACCCATATAAAGATTTGCATATGTTCACTGGGTTTTCATTTTTGTGCATTTCAAAGATTAACATTTTAGATGCGTTGAGTTAGATTATATTTTTTTCTGTTACACAGATACTACAGGTCAAAGGTTTACAGCAGGGGTCGGTAACTTCGACACTCCAACTCCAACTTTGGCACTCCACAGCAGGAGGAATGGAGTTTGCCTACCCCTACTTTAAAGACGTAACTGGTTTCAACATGATAAATACTATTACATGTTGTTCTAAGTTCTCTGAAACCTTTTATGCAAATCTCAAATGTTATCTAATAATATTTACTAATAATAATTATTCATAAGTAATGACTAGAGCTTATTTGTATCACTGCTGTAATATAAAATATTTGTGTAGTGGATACAATGTTTGCTATTTTATTGATGATGATACTTATTATTAATTCATTATTAAATACCTCATGCAAGATATGATATAGTATGTTGTATCGCACATAATGGATCTGATATGGTTCGGATAATGTATAACGACACCTCTAATCACTTGTCTTGTAGTTGTTCCATCTAGTCCCACAATGGCTTCATCCACCAGCCTCCCATCCAACTGTAGCAGTTCCTCTGGAATCTTTTCCTTCTCTCCAGCCAATATGGTGTCAGCCGTCAAACAAAAGAGCGCCTTTGCCCCTGTGGTCCGACCTCAGGCCTCACCACCTCCCACCTGCACCAGTTCCAATGGAACCAGCCTACAAGGTGAGAGGAAAACCCCTTCATAGAGATATGTATTCCCCACAGAGCAAAGCTCTGGAGAGGGATTAGAACACCTGTCAGGTTCCTATTGCTGTCTGTGTCCCCATTAGTGAGATTCAGCCTCCCTATTTGAGAGTGAAAGAAAATTCCAAATGTCTGGTTGTCATCAGGAAGAGATGGGAAATATTCCAATGGAGACAATAGTTCTGGTGACTCTGCTGACCACCAGGAATTTCCCTCACTTTTTTACCTCACCTGAGTTGTGGCTACGAAAAAGAAAGTGAAGGGAAACCTCCCCAATGGGACACAGATGTGGAAAAAAAAAAGCTGATAGGAGTTATAATCCCCCTTACTCTATTCAAAACTTTAAAAAAATGTTTTGCTTTCAGTTCTGCTTTAATGCATAAGGCACTTGAATGATATTACAGCCTATGTTTCACTGGTGTATATAATTATATCACGTAGTAACTCATAATTCAGTATTGTCACCTGCTTTTAGTAATCTAACATGTTAGATAAACAACGGTTCAGTCTCCAAAATTATAATAGTTTAATGTCCCCAAATTTAGATTTGTTTCACGTGGTTTTAGACATTTTCCTGATGTGTTTTTGGATACTATAGAAGAAGGGAAGAGTAGTCATTACTGATTCATGCTTTCTTTACCAACAACTAACACAAACATGAAAAAAAATGGCTTCCATGAGTTCACATGTTACCAAGATCTTGCATTAACATAAGTCAGCAAATGACTGTAGTAGCAAAGAGGACTAAATCCGCAAATCAGAAATACATCTTTACACTTAATTCTCCAAAACCTTTACATTTTAGTTGGTGGTATTTAACAACAGGATGGTTGTGCTATAACTAATAAAGTTACATAGTTAGCCAGGTTGAAAAAAACTCCATTGAGTTCAACCTATAGAGTACAATACAACCTATAGTAGATACAATAGTTTCTAGTCATTCTTTAACTTTCACTGGTGCTACTTAGTTTCTATGTAACCATATATCTACTTAGATTGTGTTTATTTGGCAGTTTCATACCTTGGCGTGACACAAACCACTAAAAACCTCATCAGCGTGGAATAAGAGACATAATAGAGAATAAGCCCTAATTATAGAGATCACCAGTATTTTGCCTGGTAACTAATTTGCCCTTTTGTCTTCCCTCATCAGACCAGTCCTTCGTGGACACTGGCAAGTTCCTCAGTACAGGCTCTCTGCAGGGCTTGGCCTTCTCCTGAAGTATGTGATCAATTCTTCCCATTTTCTGCTCCTGTCGTGTTTCTGTGTTCTGTCCGTGTCTATTGATGAGTGATGAGATGTTTTTTGTAACATATACCTCCATCAGGGCTTGCTTTGCCATTTCGAGCAATGGGAAAATGTTGGTGTTCCCCACATCAACCGATCAGATGGGAAATTTCATCTTTTAACCTGTATAAGGAAAATGGCAGTTTCAGTCTCATTGGTTCTCCCAGTTATTTTTTTATAAAAAGAGCCACAAAAATCAACAGCTCTGAGTGAAGACTAGTTAAAAGGTCCAGAATACTATAATTCTGTTGATAAAGGTTATTGAAGTTAATAAACTCTGGAACAAGTCATAGAGACACATACATATCTAACATTTCTAAACGTTAAGTCGGTATCAAAATTATCGCTCCCCACCCACCTAGAAACTTTCTTACTTTTCACAAAGCAGAACCACTTTCAGGAGATTGGGAAGTGTGTAGAAAAATGGAAATAAGTTAACGTTGGTTATCATGAAGTATAATTGTTTTTGGTCATTTGTTATGTTATGTGTTATATATTTTAAGGATATTTAAAGTATAGCTGTAAATTTAACACAGTTATGCTTTAAATAACCCCCTCCACCAACAGCATGCCTCCAAAATCCTACATTTACCTGTCTCTGCTACTCGTAGATCTTCACCATGCAACCCAATGCGAGCCGCACAGCCTCCTCACAAAAGTCTCCAGCCAAAGCTAGAGTTATTATGGCATATGGACTGAACCTGAAAGAGTTACTGCCATCTTGCCCATGCAGACTTAGTGACAGAGTCTCTACAAAGGCACCCCTTTTCCCAACCCCCTTATACTCACCTTACCAGCACTCCCTTACCATTTCTTCCTCCTTCACAGCTGGCTACAATACTTGGCACATCCAGGTATGGAGGAGTATGTGGCCTCCTCCCCATGACAATGCTCAGGTCTAACAGCCACTTACTATGCCTGAGCAATATCCTGTGACTGTGGGAGTGACATCATAACTTTGCAGGTTTGCCGGCACCAGTCATTTCAGCTGCAGTGAGGGAGGAAATGGCCAGGGAGCACTGGTAAGGTTAATATAAGAAAGTCAGGGTGCGGGGTTCTTACGTCAGTATGGCTTGCATGGGCAGTGGGACAGTGTTTCTTTAAATAGCTACAATAGAATGCCTTACAGGCCGTCTTTTGTTGAAATAAAATGTAAATAAAAAAATGAACAAATTAAAAATGTTCCATACATAGAGAGATTAATGCATAGTAGCAGTTCTTGTATTATAAGTTAAATCTACTTTTGTGTAGAACATTTTAGGCTGATGGCAATGTTCAGTTTGTCACAGCTATGCTAAAGGTGAGGGAAAGTCACCATTGCAGGATCTCAGACAACAGTAAAGACCCAGTAGGGGATCACACCTTGCTCCACACCCCTTGCTATGTACTCATTTTCAGGTGAGAATGATTACATTTTTAAACATGGCACGGAGTTCTCTATATGTCACAGCAATTTGCAAAGGGACACTGGTCTGCAAACATTAAACCAACATATAACTGCAGGAAGTCTAGAGTTGTTATGGTGCTGTGCCTACAAAGATTCTAACCTGTATATTTTTGGGCCGTATCCTTAAAAAAATTATTAGATGCTGGGTTTTTAACCCTGCCATGGGATACATGGGGGGAAGGGGGGCCTTTTCCCGATGAATGCAGGCAGGAATATTAGTTTGAAGTGACATTGCATTTTTGCTCCATTCAAAACTTAAAGTGTAGCTAAAGCCAAACTTTTTTTGTATAGTTTTGGAAAGATAAGGAAATGTTATGACCCCTGTCAGATTTTTTTTGTTGTCTGTGTCCCCGGTGGGAAGAATTGTCCTCTCTTTTTGTCCTGGTGACTATTGTCGCTTTACAGAAAGTGAGGAAAAACAACGGTCACCAGAATAGTAATAGATGGGAAATGCTGAGGGGATATAAATAATTTTGGAGGTGTTTCTTTTAACTTACTGTTGTGTGTACAGAACAGGAAGTGAAGGGGAATCACCAATGTGACGTAGATGGGGAAAAAACATTCCTGCCATGGGTTTTTTTTTTCCGAAATACATTTTTATTGGATAAAAAAAGGGATTTTACAATTCAAAGAAGATAAGTCGTATTATGGTAGGAGAGCCAACATAAAGTGTACGGTATGAAGCAATGCAACGTGGGTTTATACCATTACAACACACAGATGTTTCCCAGCACACTTATCAACTAGCCTGCAGCAAAACAAATTGCCCTGTCTAAAAGTATGCGTTAAAAACAGAGTTTTTAGTTGCACAACTTATGCGAAAGATACCCAGCACACTTACCAGCACACTTACCAACTAGCCCGCAGCAAAACAAATTGCCCTGTGCCTTTAAGCCAGTGCCTTGATCTCTACTTAAATTAGGTGATTGCTCGGAGGCTGTTAGCATGCCCCGTTTGCTACATTATGGCATTCATGTGCTCAAACGGCAAACCTTTCCCGAGCTAAAATTAGCTTTGATTACTTTTTTGTTTAAAAAAAAAAGGCATTTCAAACACAGATATTTTTTTGGCTACAGTGAAATGGCTTGTGTTTGACACCTTCCCTAGAGAGATAAAAACTCAAAAAGTTACCCTATCTTTGAATACTTGTAAGAAATCAATATGTGTCTTTTTGACAGTGTGTTATTCCCGCATAATATGTTCCATATTCACTGTTTCATATTTGCATGCTGTAGTCTAGAAAATAATAGTTCTAAGATTCCTAAGAAATCAAGATTTATAAGTGGCCAATACAAAGTCTGAATTTTGTGTAAATGGACACATGTCAGTGCTTGTTGGTTTCATACATAGAAAGGAAAGTTGACACTTTTCTGTAGTTTATTTAATCACTCTATATTGTGTTAGCACTTTTTTTCATAGAAAACAGTGACATTATTCCCTGTTCCCTAAAACTTCATACTCTCATATGCCTAAACCAGTCGTACACATCCTGCTAGTGTTTTTGGATCGTGTGACGAAACCCTTAGGTGGGACTCCAAGTCAGATTCCTAGCACTGCAAGGCTAGGGTGATAACCACAATCCCATTTAACGATAAGGAACCCATTATTCATATGCATGACACTAACAATACACCGTAAGCTTTTATGTCGGTGGAAGGATTCACGATGGGGATTGTCACCCTATAGGTCCTGCAAGAGATGCCAGTAGCAGTACCCTAGTGTTGGGCTGCACTGATCAACACCAAACTTAACCACCGACCATGAGTGAGCGTTCTGCTGCAACCACAAGAAAAAAAAAGGTGACAGATTTGGCATCCTTTCACTGCTTCACTAGTGTTTTGGGAGAGGACATTTGCAGGGGTTAAAAGGCCAGGTGGATACATTATAACCTGTCTTGCCTAGAGACAAGTGAGATTCCCATCTTGCCTAATAGAACGAATGGCTCTGAGGTCCTCTTTGGCTAGCATGGATGAATGTTGTTGATTTAGGACTAGGTGGTACAACACAGTGTTGGTTTGTCTATATGGTGTTCTGTGTTTGTTTGGTTGAGCCTTGTGTTTGCTTATACTCTTTTATGTTTCACTGCAGCTATCTCCGGGATGATTGCACCTCCCATGTGAAACAAATCACAGAGGAACTCATCGAGAGTTTACTGTTAGAGAAATTCACCTCTCACGTTTGGGAAGAACTCCTTTCTCTCGCTTCGATCGAGAGCACCTTTTAACTCAGGCCTCTGTATAGAGGAACCATAGAACTGCGGATTTAGACAATGGCAAACACACAAAGAAAGACTTTGCAATCACAAGAATTGTTTGTCAATCATATCATTGTCATGGATCCCTGGACTGCCTAAAAGATTCTCAAAGAACAAGAAGACCCTCGGGCACCAACATTACCATTACCATGTGCTTGACATGATGTCCTTGGCTAGATATGCACCAAGAGCTTTTAGATATCCGATCTTCTGAAATGATACTTCACGACCATCTGTACGGAATGCAGAAGATCATTTTATAGTCATGAAAGAAGTCCACTTTTTTGCTATGTGTTTTGTAATTATTTTGAAATGCCATAAGAGAATGATGATTGACAGAGTGTTTTTTTGCTTTAGGTCTGGTTGTCCTCAGCCTGAAATAATTTTAGGATCTTTAAATGGAAAAGGTTAGGAGCAAACGGTGGGTACCAAGACGTGGTCTAATATGTGACCGTCTTGTCATAGCATGAATCATTTTATATTTGGTTTTGAAACTCTATATCAGTCCATTAGTACCCCCCTTCCCTTATCACTATTTACCTTACTCTCTGAGTTATCTCTTAGAGTGGAGTTAAAGGAGATGCTAAAAAAGCTGTGACTGGGTCTGTTGATGTCTAAATTAAAAATGTGTGCCCTTGGATGTAGCCCAATAATCTTATTTATGGCTATCGGGGTCAGGCATCTGTTTAGGGCTTTTCTAGATGAAAAATATTTCTCTTTCACAACCTAACCAGGTGCAAAACTAGCCTTCAGCCTATTCACGGTCCTTCAACATCTGCATATTCCATATTTGAGTTGAGTGCAATTCACTAAAGCACATTAGCTGTTTATATTTTATTTTATTTGTCAAACACATTCACAGCTACTGAGCTTTGGTAAATAAAGCACAAATTGCCGAACCTAATAATTGCGTGGGCCAGGAATGAGTATTTTAATCCCCTCTCTGTTGAACAACCCAAGCTGCACACAGATAGGAGAGCAAAGCGATATTTAATTTTCCATATCCCTTTCTTTTTTTATTCGGTGTTGTGGTCTGTATCTAGTTATAAATAATGTA